CTAATTAATTTGTGATATCTTTTATTCTCTGGGATTATTTGCTTATAATGTATATTTTATATTGTTACTGTCATACTGTTGTTGTTGTACTCAAGCAATATTTTTAGCTTTCATAGTTGACTACATTCCTGTTTGTCTTGTCATTTAAATTTTGTTTTTAATGAACTTTTTCTAGCTTTCTGTTTTATGCATCTCAATGAAATGAGAAAATTGCTTGGATCATTTAAACGTCTCCTGCTGGAAATTGATTCAAATTGTTAGCAGGCTTTCTGAAAACGATGACACACATTCCCTTCCCAATTCTTTTTTTTCCTTTTTTGATAAAGTCTCTTGGACCAGTTCTCTTTTACCACAAGCACAACATAATCTTGTACTTTTTTATTGCGTAATTTTTCAATTGTGTTCATTAGCTGAAAATTTCCTTAACATATTGGGTTTGATTGAAATAAGTGAAATTCATAAACCATAAAGGAATCGATTTCCTTTTTCTGCGATTGAACATTCATTACAACATGACAAATACAAATAATAACTTTTATTCCTACCGAAGACATCAGATTCGTCCTTTCGTTCGTGCATACAACCAATGAACTTTCACCTCTGTAAGTATACTAAAGTAAATGGTGAAAAGATTCTTACATATGGTATATTTAGTCATACCAGTTAAAAAAAACTTAGATGTCCTTTGTCCATTTTCCGTGACACTTCAGAATCGCAACGTCCTATTTTTTATGAGCAGTCTTTTTCATTCCAGTTATTGAGAATAATTATCTCGAAATATTTGAATATTTTTGATTCATAAGTCATACAAGTCAATGTTCCAAAAATGTGCTATTAGCATGGAATTATTCAGATTTTTTATCAGTGATTAGTTGTTCAAGCAATTTATGCAAATATCTACGGGTGACCATTATCAAAAATAAGTTGACACTGAAGCGGACGAAATTTTTTTTAACAGTGATCGATTGGTCTACTCGAATTACTTTTTAGGTGACATCCTATTTAATGATAAATTGCACAGATATAACGAGCAATGATGATTTTATTATGCTTTTTCCATAGATTCCAATGGGAGTTGTCATAACTTTGATAATGACAAGTAATGTTATCTTAGTGATGATAATCTTTCAGTCAAAAAAGGTCAAAGTGACCAGAGGAGGGAGAAAGACTCTAAAAGTGATTAGAAGATAGAAAAGAAGATCGAATCCATCTTGTCCCATTATTCTAAATGATTGAATTCTTGTCAACCGTTCGGTTAGCTATATTCCATGGTCAACCATATCTGATTCATCTTTTTTTCTTTTCATCAAGTTGAACTTACCTGATATTACGAAAATGTCATTTCAGTATATTTTTGCGATAGTATCGTTAAGGTTATGTTATTATGACAAATGTAACATTCAAATATGCCAAATAAAGTAATGAATAATGACCGTAGATTGCTTTCTCTCTCGTTATCTATTTGGCTTGGCCTTAAACCATTTCATAATTTCAACGATCAGTAATATTGATTGATAAAGCCAAGAAAACAAATCCAATAACTCATTGAAAAGAAGTTTGATTAAATGGCAACGAATAATCCTAATACAATTCAGGTGAGCTTATATCAATTCTTGAATTTCATAATTATTACAGTAATTTTTGTAATCTGATAAATTTCATAATATTTTCAAAATTATTTTCAGGAAAGATTAGATTTAAAAAAATGGACAACCATTCTATCTGGTGCTTCCTTACCAAAAATATCCATTCAGCAAATGGTCAAATGTCGTGAAATGGGTAGACGTGAAATACCAATAAATTATCATTTATCATCTATGCCAAATACATCAAGTGCATTAAAAATACCAATAAATTATCATACATCATCTCTATCAAATACATCCAATGTTTTTACGCTTAATGAAAAAAGCTAACCTTATCAATAGGTTAATTAATGATGATTAATTTAAATTTTAATTAAGCTCAAAAAAAAAAAGAATATTTGTAATAGATAAAATACTATAATAATAATTGTTT